AGAAACAGCCGAGATCCTTAATACTAGGCCAAATGGTTAGATATAAATGACGACGAACTACGAAGCAAAAGTAAAAATTGTGTTTTTCCCCCAAGAATTTACATGCCATGGGAAAACGGCCAAAATACAGCAGTGAGTAAAAAAGCATTATGTTCCCATATACATAGTAAGTTCGTTGGAGAAAAAAGAACAACTAGGAATATCTCAAAAAAAGAAAAAAAAAAAAAGAGCAGCGGTTGCTGAGTTAGTCATCTTTGTGTCTTTGTTTATTGTCCAAATCATCTAAAATGAATGCGTTCTCGTGACCAGAAGATCGGTTATTTTTAAACCCGAAGTCCTTGTAAAGACTGTTTTTGTTGACGAAAGACCGGGCGCTGAGAGCTGGGGAATGGAGCAGGATCTCGTTCTGCGAGGCAGTGAAAACTGGAAACGACCATGATCTCCACGACGGATGGATTTGCAAAGAAGTTGGGGGGTTGGGCGGGGGGTGGCGTGTGAAGGAATATTATTCGCCCGTAAAAAAGCAGGCAATCCTACCATTTCCGACAGCACAGGCCGGACCCTGAAGGCATGATGCTACGTGAGACAGGTCAGACAGAGGAAGACAAACACTGTCACGATCTCACTCACATTTGGAATCAAAACAAAAAACCAACTCGCGGAAAACGAAACCAGACCTGGGGTTATCAGAGGTGGGAGGCAGAGGGGGGGGCACTGCAGGAAGGTGGTCCAAGGTGCAAACTTCTGGTGGAGGCCCTGAGACCGCCTTGTGCTGACCCAACCCAGTGCAAAGTCCCTGCTCAGGTCGTAAAAGGAAGTCAATGATCCAGGAGACACTTTCGCCTCCTTAGCCAGAAAACCTTGGCTGGAACTCAAACAAATCAAGTTCACAAAAGATTACAGGTGCATACCAGCCAGGCACTCAAGAAATACTTGGCTGGTGCGTTATAGCAAAAGCAAACAACGCAATGATGTCTTGAAACTCTTATTTGCTTCGTAACCTTCTCCTCTCCTTGGGAAAAGGACATTCAGGTGAACTCAGAGGTGAAGTGGTCAGTAGACTGAACACACTGGAGACATAGAGAAATTTCTCTCCCTGACCCATGTTCCTCTAACAAAAGTGGCAGAGCTTGGCCCCTGGGAAGAGGAACCGGAAGGAGCCGCAGCCACCTACGCACCGACACAGCCACCTTCCCGGCTGCCGTCCGCTGAACGTTACGGGACTGAAAGGTGTGGAGCACAGAGTCGTGCCCACCCGGGGCCAGGGAAGCGTGACCTGCGGCCCCCAGGATGGAGGCAAAACTCAAAGGGAAGAAGGAAACCTCATTGTGAAATTCAGCTACCATGGGCTGAGTGTCACTTGAGACAATGACCTTGAATAAATAGAATAAAATTTGAATGTTTTGAATTTTAAGAATTAATAAGCTGCTGATATATTCTGAAACTAAGGGGTTTTTTTTTGTTTGTTTTCATTTTTACCCAGTGAGCTTTATTCTTGAGCTAGAATTTTTTTCTCATTTAGCTACTTTGTGGAAGTGGTTTGAACCGGACAACCTAGGTTTGAAACTCAGCACCCCAGCTTGCTGTGTGACGTTGGGAGAGCTCCTTCACCTCCCTGGGCCTCCGAGTGCCCATGGGTAGAACCGGAGGTCGCCGTGAGAATTCAGCGAGAGACACGGGAAGCATCAGAAACAGCGCCTGGCCCCGGCCGGGTGGCTCCGTCGGTTAGGGCATTGTCCCATAAACCGGAAGTCTGCAGGTTCAATTCCCGGTCAGGGCACTTGCCTGGGTGGCAGGTTCAGTCCTCAGCTGGGGCACCTGTGAGAGGCAACTAATCGACGTTTCTCTTCCTCTCCTTCTCCCTCTCACTCCCTTCCCCTGTCTCTAATATCAGTGAACATGGCCTTGGGGGAGGATAAAAAAATAAAAATAAAACAAACAGTGCCTGGCCCCCAGTAAGCACTAAGTGTTGGCTATTATTCTTTCCTGTTGGACCATCTAACCCTAAATGCCTGATGTTTCCAGGCGCCCCTGCTTTGTGGGTCATTTCCATTTTCTGTGTACCTCTGACTCGGCAGGAGTCAAATAGTCTGCCTGACTACAGAATTGTTGAAAATTTTCTAAAAAGGCCATTCCACCACGTGGTCAAGGTAGCTACCCAGTGCTTCCTGCCCCTATAAACAGGCCAGGGGAGGGCCAGATCTAAAAGGCAAAGCATCATTCCTCCACTCTGGGGGATGACAGGTAGGCAAGGGGGCTGAGTTTGGTCCTGCTCAGGTCTGTGTAGAAACAGTGCAGGTGACCCCCTCATCCAGGGGCCTGGACCCACAGAAGTGTGTCATTGCCCCTGAGAGCCCCCCTTATCCCCACTCACACCCACAACAGAGAACCACTGTCCCGGCCAATGTAGAACAATCTAAATGAGGGAAGGGTCACAACTGTTTAACACACCCGTGAGTCACAGTGCTGTGAATCACAGCATCTCCTGGGTTACACGCCCATAAACAAACAAACTCAAAACAGCCACCACGTACAGAGCAGGGTCCCGAACCCGTGCCTTCCCCGACCCCTCGTTTGGGACCCCCAGTTCAGTGAGGCCCACAGGCCCCGCCCCAGGATAAAGATGTGAAGATAAAATGCAAAGGAAACCAATTGCACTATGAGGCAGTTACTAAACTTGAAAAGAGGCTGTGATTCAAGTGCTTCTCTCTCAATCATTAAATAACAACATGTAATAATGAGTGTAATTTCAAAGCAATGATGAGTAAAGGTGATATTTCAACGTATCGGCTTCTCCTGTAGCATAATATCTGTGATTTCTATTGGGGACAAGGTCACACGTCCTGCTAATACCCTTGCGCTGTTTTCTACATTCATAACGAAAGGAAATGCCGCATTTCAGTTAGGAGCTAATGAAAATAAAAATGTACCGTTTTCCTTTACAAGTTCATGGAACCCTCATCTGTCTCTCCAGACCCTTTGGGGGCCCCAGAACCGCAGCTGGAAAGCCCTACTCCAGGGGGTGCTGCACGGTATTTAAGTTAAGAGTTCACACCTGATCGTTCAGTTAATAGACGTTCAGCAAATGCCTCCTTTGCTTCAAGCACAGGTACCGCAGGGGAAAACACGGAACTAAGGTAAGACTTGGATGCAGACGTACTCTAAGAACTCCCAGAATCTCTGCTCGGTGTTGATCCTGGTTCTTCCAGTTTTATTTTCATCTGTGTTATCCACTACCAAATCTACAGAGATTTCTTTTCTGTTTCTCAACTGTATGCAACCAAAAGCAAAAACAAACAAAAAACAGGGCACAACGTCTTCAGGTCTGCTGTTCCAGGATTTCAGAAGCTGTGGGTGGGTGCTATGGAACGCAGCCCGCGAGTCCTCCACACTTCTGCGTCCTCTGTAATAAAACCCGCCCTGCCCCAACTGCGGGCACTCCACAGAAGTGACGTGCGGCAGTTCCGGTGCAAGTTCACTGCAGGCCGTGAAACAGAGCCCATGGGCGGTGCTCCGCTTACACTGGGGACAAAAGCGGCTGATCGGTGTGTGGGAGGCAGGACCAGGAGCCTCCTGAGTGAGGATCGGCCACGAGGGGTCCTGCAGAACTGTAAGGTGGAGTAACGTAATGCACGGAAATTTCCAGAGAAATAGTTCTGCTGCGAGGCCCACTGGGAGCAGTCTCAAGACCCAGATATGGAGCCCACCAAGCGGGTCACCCCCGACACATACGCCCACACAGTTTCCCATGTCCTTGCCAGCACAGACACTGTGAGTAAGCAAAAGTGACTGGCAAAGGGACTGCCCTGGATGCCGAGACACACCCCACAAGTTCTGCGGCCTCAACTTGAACATGAGTTCAAGTCTAACACCCTTCACACCTGCCTTGGTGCGGATGACTGTACTTTTACTCGGACCGAAACTGGTTCTCCGCAGAGCTCACACGGAGGCTGCAGGGTGTGTGTTCGGTATAAAACCACTGGGCAATATAAATAAAATGCCTTTCTTATCAGTATCTGATAGAGGCAATGTGAAAACAGCCTCAGAGACGCCCTCAAGGACAAACCGGCCGTTCTCACTTGTGTAGGACAAATGGTTTTACAAATTCAAGAACACTGAAGATCTGTCTGTAGAGAAAATTACAGTGAAATTCACAGATGCATTTGAACCAACTTATCTCTGAGCAGAAGCAGGATGGCTGTCATTTTTTTCAAGGTGACACAATGATGCACTGTTACGTAACCGATGGCACTTTGAGAGTGACGTCACTCACGTAGACCAGCCTCCAGTTAACTTGAAGTTTAAAGCCAGAGGTGTCAGAACAAAGCACAGGGTCTGTCCTAACAAGATCAGAGGGCTGCCACGGCTCCCCAAAGAGTACCATCTTCCTGCCTCTTGAATGGACCTCAGACACATCCTTCGTATGAATTTTTAAATCATCCCATTTTCTTTCAAGTCTGCAACAACAGGTGTCACGCCCTTGGCATCACAGACACACTGGAAACAACCACCTCGTGCAGCGCACGCCCCACCAGGAGCCAGCCCCGCAGCAGCACCGCCCCCCCCCGCCCCCCGGCACGTCCGCTGTGCGGCTGCAGGGGCCGTCTGAGTGGCCCGAGTACCTGGCTCCCTGGCCTTTCACTCGGAAACCATCATCAGCCTTGGTCCACGTGTCTTGCTCTGTCATATAAATACCGAGGGGCCAAGATGCTCCAATGGCTTTGGTCTAAACGCTGACAAACTCCTTCCCAGTAAGCATTTCTAAGGACTCACATGATACTTTGGGTTTGGAGGGGGGGAAAAATGGGAGCATTTTCAAATTCCACTACTGTAAAATTTCTAATCAGAATACTTAACACCCAGGTCTTCTAAGTCATGCTTATTCGTGCCTCTCCCACGGACAGCAGGCACGGGCCTGGGGAACCTGGACAACGTCCCCCTCTGAGATGTGGCTAAAAAGCCCCGGCCGGCCCTGTGCCCCCGGAAGGGGATCTACTCACGGAAGTACTTCAGCGTCTCCTCGATCTGCTCGGTGGTGAGGTCGATGTTGGCATCTGGAGAAATGAGGGGTGTGTGCAGCCAGTCGTCGTGGTCATAACCGTAGATGGTGTCAGCTCTTAACTTATAGTGGGGCAGCTGCTCCTCCAGCAGGCTGATGATCTCGACTTCCGGAAGGTCGGTGCTGTTGCACACGTCTGGGGAGAAGACGGAGACGTGAGGGCCAGGCTGGCCGTGCGGGCTCCGAGCCGAGAGCGACCCGCAGGGTCCCCGCTGGCCGGCTGGCTGGCTGGCCGGCTGCCCGCCTCCTGCCAATAACAGGCAAGGTTCTCGTGCTTTTGGCGGCTGGGCCAGGTCTGTCTTTCCCAGCCTTTCTCTGGCCATCCTCTCTCAATCGCCCCACACAGAACCCAAACAGCTGTAATTTCGCCCGTATGCCAAACTTCTTTCTGCCCCTCTTTTAGCATTCAAGCTATCCCCTCCACGTAGGGTTTGTTTTCATTTCATTCATTCATTCATTCATTCATTCATTCATTGGTTCATCCACCTCCATTTCCTCCCATGCATTCACCCAAATATAGCCTCAGTACCAAAGACACGGGAGACGCAACGGTAAACACACAGCCATGGCCTTGCCCTTGCAAAGCTGTATCTCATGGACTTCCAACCATTAAAGCACCAGGAGCCGCCCCATCGAGGTGCAGCTTGAATGTCCCCTCTCCCCTGACATGCTGGCGCTGTGAGCACTGCAAGCAGAGTTAACCTTCCTTCCCGCTTCCACACAGTGAGTCCTCCATACCCACAGGTTCTGCGTCTGCGGAGTCAGCCAAGCATAGGGAAAAATATGGGGGCAGGGGAGTCACCCTGTTGCTGACGCGTACTCTGCAGTGAGGCCTACGATGGCTGCATCGGTACTGAACAGGCACAGGCTTTTTTCCTTGTCATCATTCCCTAAGCAGTAGAGTAGAACAACTACCTACACAGTACTTATACTGTATTAGATATTGTAAGTAATCTAGAGATGATTTAAAGCATAAGGGGAAATGGGCACAGGTTATATGCAAATAAGTAAGGGACTTGAGCATCTGTAGATTTTGGTGTCTGCGGGGATCTGGGAACCAATCCCCCGTGGATACCAAGGGGCCCCCATACACACATAGCATTTTGTCAGAACTTCGCTTGAAAGATCTGTCTTTGGGGTGTTTCAGCATCTGACTCATCTCCCTGTGAGATGGCAAACGTCTCACATTCATTGCATTGCCACACTCAGCATCTCACACCACCACACTCCACACACGGCTGTCCTCAACCCACCCCCGTGCACTTCGAGTCTCTGGCCCAGACTGTGAGCAGTGGCTGCACGGTGATGCCCAGGGAGGTGACTCAATCCATACGAAGCAAAGTGAAGCTGGCCTTTTAACTAAATTGCACACACTGGCAATAGGGCAAGTGCTCCCAGGACAAGAACCAGTCTTACACAACTCCCCTACCCCCAGGAAGAATGAGTTAAATAAGTGCTAATGGGCATCTGTAAGCTAATTCTGATGTCAATCACTGTATCGGCCCACGTCACGGAAAGTATCTGGGACCTAGGACGGTAAATGTCCTGTGTGAGTAGCAGAGGTTTGGTCGGCCCATAGAAACCAAGGTGCCTACAGTGCACAGAGCTGGACCAGAGAGAAGAGCTGAGTGAGCCTTCAATAAGAAATACCATTCAAGAAGTAAGAATACAACGGGGGTCAAGTCTTAAGAAGGTGGCTGCACCCGTTGTTGCTTTGGAGCAGGAAAAAAGATGGCGGATCCGAGTGGAGGACAGTTCAGTCTCCTGTCCCTCTCCCAAGTGTAAGAAGGCGGGGGGAGGGGAAATCACTCTCAAGATAAATAAAACCCAACAGCAAGGGAAAATAAGGAGAAGACGCTGACAAGAGGTCCAAATTATGGGGTGTATCTCAAAGATGGAAGTTGGCACCCAACTGAAGAACAAAGGTTGAGCCCTAAGCACACAGAGGAAATGACAGTGCAAAGCGTGGGTAAGTCCCAGAGTGCTCCAGGCTGGCGGCGGGTGGGGTGGGGGCAGGAAGGACCTGGGACACCAAAACGGGCACAACAGGGAGGACCAGTCCCCTTGCTCCTGTCTTGGCTTGAGCCCAGACAAAGAAGGCAGCAGAGCCGCTCACACACAGGTAGACTGTGCGGGCACCTGGGCCCAGAACAGCTATCCAAAGACTTACCAAATCCCTACCTCGTTCGTGTTCAGTAAGACGCCCACAGACAGGCCAAAAAATATATGGAATCACAGGTGAAGAGACCAATTGTCTCCCTTTGGGCAAGGGTCACCTGGAGTCACCTGGAGGCTCCCCGCACCGACCTCCTATCATCCCACACGACCTTCTCACCCAGTTCAATGCGCACAGCTTCTTGGTAGAAGGAAGCTTTGATTAAGGAGGTCAGTGTGGTTTGTCCAGAGCTGAGGAACAGAGTAGAAAGTGAAGACATTCAGAGCTTTACTGAGAGCTTTAGGGGAGCTCCTCATGCAGATCTTCTGCCTCACGTGGGGAACGTCGCGGTACATGCACCTGGCATTTCGGCCAGCTCTGCCACTCCGCAAGGTCTGGTCCCAACAGAACTATGTCCTCCGCTCGGCCAGAGCCCACAGCCCTACCTCAACACAGAAGGTGTCTCCCATTCCTTCCCATCTCCCACTAACCACAGACACCACCCGAAAGGTTCAGGAGGGACCCATCATTAAGTTGCTCCCTCTCAGGCACGCAAGTGGAAGTTCCCACAAAGCTCACCTCGGGGAGAGGCCTCAGAGCGAGAAAAGGGCTGCCACCTGACTGAGGGCACACGGGGTCAAGGAAGGCTGATGCCCGGCCAGCGGCACCTCTCTGCTAAACCCAATCTGCCCTGTAGAAGACAGTGCCGGCTCGTCCTATGACACGAGCACTGGCCTGCAGTGACCGAGGAATGCTGTGGATGGCTTGTCGAAACACGAGAAAAACATACACAGAGACAACCAGGTCCTGTGGGGAAATAGGGACAGTACGACCACTCTTTCTAGTGAAAAGAGCCCCGTTCTCCCTGCCCCTCCATCAGGCTTTTATTGGGTTCCTTTACACAGGAATTCAGGCAAAGCTTGTTAATCATTGCCAGGAAGTAAGGATCAAACAATAGATAACAAGGAAGTCTGAGGGCCTATTTTGAGTCAGGGTCAGATAGCTAAAGAGTCGTAAAACTTTGAGGAACAAACTTACTTCTTGCTTGGACCCTTATCAGTTCATTGAGAGCATTCTAAACAAAGCAGGTTTCACAGGATTTTATGCATTCTTTCTTAGGCCTGATCACCGGGGAACCCGCCCTTTTCAGCACAGGGCTGCACCACCCTCTGTCATTGTTTCAGACTTAGGTGGAGCAAGGGAAGTAAGGCAGCCAAGAGAGTAGGAAAGTTCTCGCAGACAATGAGGACTCAGGCTTTGTCAAAGCCGAGGGGCAAGGGTCCATCACCCCTCTTGCTGTAGCCCTCAAAGTCCTTCCTTGGGGGCCTCCCACATGACTGTGCCTGTCTTAGGTCGTTCCCCCCTTGGGGAATCTTACCCGTCATTGGCTAACCGACCAAGCACTGGGGGCCAGGCAGGGTGAAGTAAAAGGAGCAGAAGCGGTGCTCCTGCCAGGAAGATAAGCTTTTGTCTCCTTTCTGGCTTACAGTCCAAGGTCATTCCCTCAGCCTTAGCCTTGGTGGGGGTTACAGCTTCTGATACCAGGCAGGGCGGTTCCCAACAGTCCTAGAACGAGCAGCAGACCAACACACTCCTGCATGACGCACCCACACAACGCTGGAATCTTCTGGTGTCACTGCTATGTGGTGGTGGAGAAGGCAACGGGGCCCAAAGACATACACGTATATACCCCTTCTAAGAATAACGTGTCACTTGTGTGCATGCTGGCAGCTGCTCACACGCTGAGACTTGACCTGCCTGTCCACATTTCCAGGGCTGAAGGTCGACTTATTTACAGTGTGGGTCCTTGTGCCCAAGGGATATCGTTTTCCTTGAAGCATATGATGGCCAGTGAGATAAAGTATCAAAAGGTGAGGCTATGCCAAAGAGCCTTTAAAAAAATAAACAAACTCTGTTTATTTGATTTTTTTCAATAACATGACCAGCCATGTAAACACAAGCCACGTTTTCAGCTTCCTGGAAGACCCAGAGAATTAGGGCACAGGAAAGGGTCGCAGAGACCGCTCCGGGCGCTCTGCTTGCCCTTGGCTGCTGGGCCGGAAGCCCCGGGACCTCCTGTAGAGGGGGACATTACAATCGGTTCCTGGAGAAGGCACACTGAGGCCCGAGGTTGGGTAAACAGAGTATGAAAGCCTTCAAGAATTCCCCAGGAGTCTTGTCCCCAAACCAAACACCACGCCAGGTACCTTCAGAGGGTTCGCTGACCCTCCCAGCGGCCTGAGACGTAGATATTTGTGTAATTTTATAGATGAGGAAGCAAGATTCACAGGGACTGTGGAATATGTTTTTTTAAAAATTGATTACAACTACCTTCTAAAGAGAGGGCAGTAGGGGGCAGGTAGAGTGGCAAGAGAGAAAAACGTTGACTGGTCATCCCACTTATGTGTGCAATCATTGGTTGATTCTTGTATGTGCTCTGACCACGGATTGAACCTACAACCTTGGTGTATTGGGACAATGCTCTAACCAACAGAGCTACCCAGCCAGGGCCGGACTGGGGAATATCTTGGTGGTCAAGGTCACACAGCTAAATAAGTGACAGATCCTGTATGAGAAAGCTCAGCTGCCATCTGCTGCCCATCTCCTAGGCAGGCACACTAGAAATGCTGGGGAACTCCCAGGACATTCTGAGCTGGAAGTGTCTGCTCTAGACAGGTAGATTCCACGAGTACAGTGAGGATGTTCACTTCCACACACGGACAGTGGAGGGAGGTGCTGGGCTGGTTTTTCCTTCCAGAGCACAGGGAGCAGAGCCACGAACTGAAGCGACCTGTCTGCAGAGCCACGAAGGACCAGGGAGGGCCTGAGAAGGACAGCCTGCCGCTCCCTCTCCTGGAGCTCACTCAAGTTCATGGTGTGAAAGGGCCCAGGTGGCCCAACCTGGAAGAAAAGATCTCCTGGCGGTCATCATTTCCCCACAGCCCCAACTCACATTACTAACAAGCTATCAAAGCAATGTG